CTGAAATATAACTGAGCTCCAGAGATGCTTAGAGGAACGGAAGCACGTTTTGGGGAAGAGAGAGAGAGAGAGAGCAAGAGAGGAAGCACAGCCTTCCTATCCCAGTCCTTCAGTGCCAGCAAAAGTTTTCTGGAGCCCTGCATCAAAAAAAAAAGGTTGCATTCATCCACCCGGCTAACCCAAAATGTGCTCTTCTTGCAACTCCGTGCACTGTGTGAACCCAGGCAAGTGGACTGGAGGACTAGGCAGTCATCTGGAGTCGAAAGGGAAAAGAGGGTTTGACTCAGGAGTTCGTGTGCTGCACCTCTTTATTTAAAGATTTGCTGACGGGGGCAAGATGCGTGTCCACGCGTGTCCATCTGAATCACCTTTTTTCCCTTTGAAGAGGAATAAACTTCACAGGGGTTAAACAGCAATGAAGTAGACCTTGCTGTTACCTGCTATTGTGCATAGACAGACAGAGCTGCCAACCAAACTACTGCTTGGCCCATTAGGAGTTCACAGAAGTAAATAGTTGATGTTTTTTACAGCCTGGTATGGTCATTTATGAACGCTTCTAGACAGTGTGGTTCCGGCTTCTGAAACAGGCTGCAAAACTCTCGGTGGCCACTAGGTGGCTGTGACATGACAAAAACTCCAACCTTTGCTGCTGGCTAGTGGCCATCTGGAGTTTTGCAACACAGATAAGATAGCCCTAAAAATGGTCCACCAAAAGGTGGCCACCCCATTGGCCCACTGGAGTTCTTTTAAGCTCAGGCGGTCGGGATTCTTAACTCTGAATTCTCGAGCAACATGAAATATACCTCATGCCTCTTTTCTCATTCTGCACAGCTCCGACCATTAAAAATTTGAGTACAGATACACAGATTCATATTGTGTAAATCCAAATCCAATGGTTGGTTCATGTTTCACTGGGCTGTGTAAACTGAAAAAAAATGGGTAATTGAGTAACTATGATTAAGTTAACCATGGGTAAACATGTCTTGCAAATACTGCCTTCATATGCACTTATGAATTTGAATAACTATCTTCACAGTGCATGCAACACCCTGAAATCTCCCTTTTTCTCCTCCCACCTCAGCTCAGCTACCCAACTCATTACTTTAATGCCTCGGCATTATACTTTCTTTCATGCTTAATTAGAGCTCTTTTAATTGCTGAGAGATTCTTGGTCGGAAGGCAAGTGGGAAACATATAGGATTAAAACAAGAAGGCAGGAGGGGGGAAAAGATACACATTTATTAGCATTTTCCTCCCTCTTCTTCAAAACCAGAAATAAAACAGAACAACATTCCAAAGTTTTATTTTTTGCAGGCTAAATACAATCCTTCATCTTTTCCTGATATCTTCAGATGCCTAATTAATTATAATTGCGCTATACATTTCTTAGAGTTGCCTGTAGATTGGTGTAGAAGATACACAATCTGCTTCTTTGCAAGGAACATAATCTGGGATATTAGAGAAAGATGAGTAACTAGAGGGAAGGAGGGGTTACTTGCTTAGCAGACAAATAATTAAATAACACACACACACACACACACACACACACACACACACACACACACACACACACTGAGTTCTGTTATAGCAACTGCAGGTCAAAAAAGACACCATGGCAGCTATAATGGTGTATTTGAAGCTCTATCTGTTTTTCATTTGTACAGAATTTCTGTCGCAACCATCATCTTGACCTTTTTTTTTTAACTCCCCTGTTCTGGTTTATTATAAAATGCTAATTATTCATCACTGGTATTGTTCTGGGAGATTGGGTGATGTGCACTGCAGTTTAGGACTTGTCATTTGCTGTTAGGTTGTTTTAAACCACGATGGATTGGCCAAATGGTTGCATTTACCCAACCTGCTAAATCAGGGGTGTCAAACTGCCGGCCCACGGTCCGGATGCATCATGCCGAAACCTTGCCCACCCCAGCTCCAGCAATGAGGGAAAGTCGCAGTTGCGACACATCACAAGACAATGTGAGTTTGACACCCCTGTGCTAAATCATGGTTTGTAAGCTGTTCCTGCTGGATGACAACATTCTAAGCTACAAAGAGACAAAGTTGGTTGAACCCAATCCGTTTTTGGATTGAACAGGGAAATCTATAAAGATAGAATTTCTTTGAGCCTTTTCCACAGCTCTTCTTCTTTCATTACTTTTGATTGCTGAGTTAGCAAAAGTGAGCCCCCCAGCTATTTCTCCTTTGCATTTGCCCTTTCTGGTAACCTGCAGAAACCAATCAGTAAAATGTAATGAAATGTGCCTGGTTAAAAACTCGGGAGTAATTAATTTAAAATACTGTAGCAGCACCGTAATCAAATAATGGAGTTTACTGCTTTAAAAAGAAGTAGTGCCCAGCTCAAGCAAGGCACACTGAAGTGGCCTTCACATATGGCTATCTTACCTGGGCTGCAAAACGCCAAGGAACCTTTAGATGGCAGTAAAGAAAATATTCTGTATCCCTTTGCTGCCATCTAACTGTCATCTGGTTTACTGCAGCTGAAGTAATTAATCCATGAATGAGGGGCAGTTGCATGACACACTGAAGCATCAATTAACCACAAAGGCAGGATGCAAATAAATGGTGGATGGCTGGTTTGTGGGGAGTGTGTCATGAGAATATAGGCAGATATTTGTTACTTGTTTTGCAACAAAGGTTTTTCACTATCTGTCCAAAGCTGCTATAAATGGCCTTAGCTCACTCCCTTGCTTCCATAAAGGATCCTCTCTACTTTTTTTCTGACTCACAAATGGTGCTTATGATAAGAAATCAGAGCATCTCCAGATAGCATTTGTACTGCTCTGGGATCAACACCATACCGTTATGATCCCCCACAGTATTATCTCTCTTCAAGAGTTAAACTGGTTTACTCTCAGTGGAGCCGGGGTATAGTAAAACCCACAAGGAGGCTAGTCCACATAGGTGTGTGAAGGTGAAGATTTGGGACAGCAGTCTGTTTCTCCATTTGCAGAATCTGGGTCTCTGCTGGTTTTCTGCTTCCTGGCTACCGACAGGTCCTTCAAATGGAAGTGCTTTTCAGTTCCCCCTAATAGGACCGACTGGGATCTTTTTGGAGAGAACCAGACCGCGTTTAGTGTAAACTAAAGACATAGGTGGGGTGTTTGAACAAAAATGGGGCAGTGTTTTTTTTTTCCCCTTGCTCTTAGACTTGTGAAGTTAGCATCCGTGAAGATGACCATAGATTGCCTTCAAATTGTTTCTGAGAGATAGAAGGGCAGATATAGCGGCGGTGTGGGAGAGACCAAGAGCAAATTTGCTCTCCCGAGTGTACACTGGTGAGATAACAAAGGCTATAGGGAAGGATAGGAATGGTGCAATGAAGAGCATTCACTTTTTCACATTGCAAATTATCCAAACACACAGAACTTGGAAATTTACTCTGAGGACATTGTCAGGGAGTGGGGGGAGGGGTGTCAAAAAAAATCAAGATGGCAGACACAACCGTGCAAGCAAAGCTCTGCTCCTTATTTTTAACCCGTGTCGCCACCCAAATAAGAGGCGTGTGGGGCTTTGCTCGCACGGCTCTGGCTGCCATTTTGAATTTTTAACCCCCACCGCCCTTGTGGACGAGCCTGGTTTAGTCAAACGACTTTGAGCAAAAGTCCCGTGCTTAAAGCTAAAGAGAGGTTTAATCCAGCCGTTCTCAACCTTAGCACCTTTTTAAGATGCATGTGGATTTTAACTCCCAGACTCTCCCCCCCCCCCCGGCTCTGTGGGAGAATTCCGGACTTGAAATCCACCCATGTGAAAATTGGCAAAGGTTGAAAAAGACCGATCTAATCTCTGTCGTTTATTTCCCTAATAAGAATGCTCCAGGTTTCAAGATGAATGACAATCCACTCTGGCTGAAATAATGATATGTATGTGTGTAACTCCCTATGGTGGAAATTAGAATTCTAGAGTTGGAAAAGGCCACGGACTCCCACTTCCTATTCCCGTAGAGGAAGCCAGATTAAAGCATCCCTCACAGGTGGCTGTGCAGCCCCCACTTAAACACACCCATTGAAGGCAAGCTACCTCTTCTCCAAGACCTGTAATTGGTTCCTCTGTCAAGCTGCTCTTTAATTGCAGCGGAAGATCGCTCTACTTGACAGCTTCCTTCCTTTGCCCCCCCGCCCCCCACCCCAAAATCACAAATGCATGCTCTCTTGGCAATGATGCAATAAAAGCATCCCTTTCACTCTGCGTGGGATGCTGATAGTCGTGGTGGGACAGTTATCCCGGCTGAAAGAGCAGAAAAGGATTACCTAACACTCGAACTGACACATATTCTACCTGTATCATTCTCTGCCGCTTGAAACCAAATCCCAGGTAAGGAAGTGGCATCCCCTTTGTTGACTTGCAGCCGTTCATTTAGTGACCGTTTGAAATAACGACGGCATTGGAAAAAGCTGCTTTATGAGCATTTCTCACACAACGGTTACAGCATCCCCGTGATCACGTGATCAAAATTCGGACACTTGGCAACCGATTCATATTTATGACGGTTGCAGTGTCCTGGGGGGGTCAGGTGATCCCTTTTGTGACCTGACAAGAATGGGGGAAGCCAGGTTCACTTAACAACCAGGTTATTAACAGCTGCCGTGATTCACTTAATAACTGTGGCAAGAAAGGTCGTAAAATGAGGCAAAATTCACTTAACTGTCTCAGTTAAGCAGAAGAAATTTTGGGCTGAATTGTGATAATAAGTCGAGGGCTACCTCTGTGTTGGAGTTCTTTCAGTAGGATGGCCCACTCCAGCTATGGAGGAAAGTGCTCTGCGTACATGGAGAACTTTGGATCAGACCAGATCCCTTTCCATCCCACCAAGGATCCTTCCTTGGGGTGCATGGCCTGGGTTTTCCCAATGTGTCAGTCCCAGGTCAAGAAAAAACAGCTGCTGGGTCCATGGAGCACAGGGCGCCTGCACACATAACTTGCTTTGTGGCTCAACATGTGTGGCCCCATTTTCCGACTGCACACACTCAGCTGCCAGCTACCCAACCCAATTCCCGGCTTAGTTCTGCCGTTTTTGTGGGGTGGCTCAAAATTAATGGGGTGGTGCAGGATTTCAACTCTTTACCTGCAGTCCTCCGATAGGGCTGGTTTTCCCCGCTGTTTTGAAATGAGAAGGAACAATTATTTTAATTAAAAAGTGTGGCTCTTTATCTCGAAGGACGAGCGTCCCGTTTCAGAGGGAGATGATAAGAGTTGGCTGCCTGGCTCGCTTCTGATCTCAGCCTGATATAAACTTTGAGCTCCATATCTTCATTTTAATTATTGTCTTCCCTCTGAAAGCTTTACACAAAAAGCAACTTTAGCATCATCCCATCGCCCAGCCTTGGGAGCTGCTTCCGCTCAGCTAAGTTCTTTCTTTCTTTTTTTTTTAAAGGCGCGTCTGGGGTCGAAAGCTTTTCAAAACCGCTCCGGGGTGATTGCAGGCCTGGAAAAAATAAACCAGGGAAACTTTTTCCAGGAGCTCTTGCCCGTAATCTACACCCACACATGCACCCACACGTACAGGCACCCTTGTTAACAGGCCTGTGTATTCCCCGATAACATCTCTTCCCCGTCTGGTGCTGTTTCTTCCTACTTAGTCAAGAGCCTCCTGATGCGATGAGCTTCTGTCTATCTGCCTTCCGTCTCCGTCTGTGCGCCCTTTCTCTTGGGCCGGGTCCAGGAGAAAAACCCCTTGCACATCGGCAAACGTGTCTGTTCTGCTCCCTTTTCCATCTGTGGAGGCAAGAAGGAGGGCATGAGAAAGGGAAGCGTGCATTTCTCTTCCTAGATCAGTGGTTCTCAACCTTTTTAATGCCGCGACCCCCCAACCGGTCGTAAGTCGAGGACTACTCAACCGGTCGTAAGTCGAGGACTACTCAACTGGTGCAGCACCGTTTGCAGAATGGGACTTTTGGCGGGCTCAGCAGGGCAGAGACAGCCTGGACAATTCCTATTGGCTTTTGAAAGCCAATAGAATTAGACTCTATTCAAGACAGTCTATTCTATTGGCTTTCAAAAGCCAATAGAATAAAGGAGTAGCACAGCTAAGGAAAAGGGGGAAAAAATGGCGGACTGCGTTGTTTGGCGACCCCCGTGAAATGGTCGTTCGACCCCAAATGGGATCCCGACCCAAAGGTTGAGAACCACTGTCCTAGACTTTCTGATTCATGGACCTTTGTATATTTATTTGAGGGTTAGGAAGTGGCTGAGTTTTGTTTTTACTAGGTTTTGTTTCCCAAAGGGCCCATTCCCCTCGTTTCTTTGCTCTGGCAAGAGGCTTCTTGCAGTTGGACCCCTCCCCATCCGAGATCAATCAATCAGAATAGAGCTGGAAGGGACCTTGGAGGTCTTCTAGTCCAACCCCCTGCTCAAGCAGGAGACCCTGTGCCATTTGAGACAAGTAGCTATCCAGTCTCTTCTTAAAAACCTCCAGCGATGGAGCCTCCACAACTTCTGAAGGCAAGCCGTTCCACTGGTTAATTGTTCTCACTGTTAGGAAGTTTTTCCTTAATTCCAGGTTGCTTCTCTCCTTCATTAGTTTCCATCCATTGTTTCTTGTCTTGCCTTCTGGTGCTTTGGAAAATAAATTTACCTCCTTTCCTTTGTGGCAGCCCTTCAAATACTGGAATACGGCTATCATGTCACCCCCTAGTCCTTCTTTTTTCTAGATTAGTCATACCCAGTTCCTGCAACTGTTCTTCATATGTCTCTTCGCCTTTAGTCATCCTAGTTCCGTGGTGGCGAACCTATGGCACACGTGCCACAGGTGGCACTCAGAGCCCTCTCTGTGGGTACGCGCGCCATCCCCCCAGTCCTAGGCCTTCAGCTGGGTTTTATAAAACCTTTTCGCTTTAGGCTTCCGCCGCCGTGTGCAAAAAAAAAAAAAAAATCTCGCAAAGTTGGAATTGATTGATTGAACTTTTTAGTCCCACCCAGTCTGCCATGACTATCACAGCCATGCCCACCCAATGGGCCATGCCCACTCGGCACCTGACGATACATAAGTGGGTTTTGGGTTGCAGTTTGGCACTCGGTCTCTAAAAGGTTTGCCATCACTGTCCTAGTTGCTCTTCTCTGCCCTTTTTCCAAAGTCCTAACGTCTTTTTGGCAATGTGGTGACCAAAACTGGATGCTGTATTCCAGGTGTGGTCTTACTAAGGTTTTATAAAATGATACCAATACTTCACGTGATTTTCATTCTATGCCTCTGTTTATACAACCAAGGATTGTATTAGCTTTTTTGGCTACTGCTGCACACGGCTGGCTCATATTTAAATGTGTGTGTGTGGGTTTGCATTAAGATGTTTGCATCTGGGTGCAGAGAATTTTGGAGATGAAACTTGCCTCTCAGGGGCATGCTCATGTTATGGTTTCCACACATACGTGCACACCCCTCTACACACACACACACACACACACACACACACACACACACTGGGCCTCAGTTTGCAAAAGATGTGCCTGAGATTTGAGCCTTGCACCAGGAAATGAGGTCAGGACCTTTCCATATATGCATGACTCTCCGGTAACACAGCAGGTGGTTTCCAGCCGAGTCAGTAAAGCATTGTCAAAACATGTACTTGGAAGCTGAAGGCATTAACTCCTACAGCAGTCCCTTTCCACAATCACACCCGCACCAGCTCTTAACTGTGGTTTGTAATGTATTAACCGTGTGCAGCAGTTGGCATGGCTGTCCCCAGGGGACATAAAAGCTGCTGAAGCGTTTCAGTGAATTAGAAAAAAAAATATGCTTTGGATATTTTAAAGGAGAAACATGTGGCAGATGTTCCTAGTGTGTATACTAGGGTAGGAGCTGCTATCATTTTCATTTCACTGGATGGGAAACAGAATCATCCCCCCCCCCCCCCCGCCCCAGTTTTAAGGTATTGGTTGTCAAGGAGTAGGAAACTAACCTTGAAGAAAGAATGCACATAGGAAAACATACACTTAGGCTTGCGAAGGAAGATGGGTAAGAAAAAACTCAAGACTGCTCCACCTTGATTCTCTTGGGTATAAGGCAGGGATCTCCACACTTGGCAACTTTGTGACTTGTGGACTTCAACTCCCAGAATTCCCCAGCCAGCCATGCTAGCTGGGGAATTCTGGGAGTTGAAGTCCACGAGTCTTAACGTTGCCAAGTTTGGAGATCCCCTGGAATAAGAGGAAAGCTCAGTCACATTCCCAAAACTCCTCTAGTACCCTTTAACAATAGAGTTCCAGTAGTACTTGTGGTGTCTGTTTCCTGACCTGGCCTACTTCAGTGGGCTGACAACCATCCTGCAATCCCTAATTTCTTGGGAAACCCTTTTTCTTGCTGACCGTCTCCAACGGCTCCACTATGTTTGTAGGAGACAGTAAGTAACATTTACTGCTGGACTTTTGGCTGCAGAATTACCTGGGCTCAAGAGCAAGAGGGAAAGCTTAAACCTTGAAGGTTTAGCAAGAATTGGAGTGGCATCAACTCAGGTCACCCAGGAAGTTTGGCAGAAAAGATCGACTAGTTCCTCATTTATGCAACAGGGAGCTTAAGAGAGTCCAGGAAGGAGGTTGGGCTGGGCTGAGCTGGGCCAAGGTTGCCAAGTTGCTTTTTCATTCAACCTCCCCATTGTTCACTCCTGGTTCTTCCTGCTAACTGGCACGTATCATGAGCAATAGCCTGCCTGACTCCCCCATCACTTTAACCATGCCAGCTTCTCTACCTGAGACTGCTAAGCCACACCTGCCAATCCCATTTGCCAACTTGAAAGTTTGGGGGACACCTTAGAATAGTGGTTCTCAACCTTTTTAATGCCGTGACCCCCAATCGGTTGTAAGTTGAGGACTACTCAACCGGGCGTAAGTCTAGGACTACTCAACTGGTGCAGCACCATTTTCAGAATGGGACTTTTGGCGGGCTCAGCAGGGCAGAGACAGCCTGGACAATTCCTATTGGCTTTTGAAATGAAGGGTTGCCTGATTAATAAGCGCTTGTCTCACTAGCTGATGGGACTCCTCTGAGGCCAAGGTAAGATGGATCAGACTTAGAGTAAAGATTGGACACTACATCAAAACCCCTTTGAACAAGTAAGTTCACACCGGGTCGGCGTCACCTGCAACGCGAAAGGACATCTAAATTGATTTGTGCCTCCCCGAACCGAGGCTGATGGATTTGGATTCTCATTAGACTAAACTGGAGAGCGGGAAGAAAGATCTTTCTTTTAATTACCAAGTAGGGCTGAGCCCTCTCAACCACACACAGCCCTCCGGAAAGGCCATCTTCTCCTCCCCAGCTCCCCCTCATTAGAAAGGGAATAAATTGCTTAATGTCAGGATATTTTACATACCTGGTGAACACACATGAAAGGATTCTAAATGCCACTCTCGCTGGTCCGCAACTTTCTTCCCAGAATTGAAGGCAGCAGAAAAATCATTTTGCATCTGGGGAGTTTTTGCAATATAGTATTCCTACTTGAACCATCCTAATCGATGACTGGGTTACTATAACACACCCCATTAAAGATGTGAGCTCCTAGCCCTCCAAATCGGCTTTCGGTTTTGATCTGGACTGGAAACAGTGACCAGCAGTTCACAAAAAAACAGGAGCTTCAACCCCCTTAGTTTCCAGGAGGTTACAGCCTTTGAGAGAGGGTTAATACAGAGTATTAATTCCATTTTTTCCCAATTCCCATTTCCATGATCTATTCAGCTGAACACAGCCTGAACACCTGCTTGCAAAGCATTCTCTATCAGCATCTTCACCCCCTCTAATAACAGATGAGAGCCAAAATAGGTCCACTGAATAATTACATAGTATAATATCGCCAACATTGTGCTATAGTATATAGTACAGGATTGGCAATATTAGCAGAACTCAAAACCTATGTCTGTCTATCTATCACCTACCTACCGACCTACCTGCCTACCTTTTCTACCTTCTCAGGTTTTACACACACACACACACACACACACACACACACACACACACACACACACTATTACTGGCAAGAGTGTAGGAGATGACCAGGCTGAGCCGGAGGGAGGGGTCAAATGCATCATCAGTCATGAGTCCCTTCGTGCCCACTCGAGATCTAAGTCCTGCCCACCTTGAATTCCTTCTCCTCTTACCTCCCGCTAGTTTCCCTTGACTGTTATTAGTTCAGATTCATGTTGAGAGCTTAAACTTGCAATAAATCTTTATACGCATTTGAACTGTCTGGATTGGAGCTTGACAAAGAGTATGAGAAGGTCAGTACCATGGGATGGAACATTTTATTGCAAAGGCGAACAACCAGACTCTTGTGTAGAATTCAAACTAGCTACTTTATTGTTCTCTGCCTATTTCACAGGAATCTCCCCAGACTGGCAGCTATTGCTGGGAAAGGGTAGATGAGGCTCAAAGGCACTGGGGGTGGGGGTGGGGAACGTGTGAGACCTTGCCCTCTGTGTAGTGAGTCTAGACCAATTCTCCACTTAAATGCTCCTCTCAATTGGGATGGTGGCTCTCCCGCACGTTGATTATATTCAAAGGTTGTTAGATGTTTCAAAATGTTTTAGGTTTGACTTATTAACCTTGACTGATGATCAGTGGCTTATTTACTCATTTTTATTTATATCCATTTATTAGCTTTATAAATAACTCAAGGTGGCGAACACACCACAATACAAGTTTCCTACTCCTAGTTTTCCCACAAGAACCCTGTGAGGTGGGTTGGGCTGAGAGAGAGGAACTGACCCAAAGTCACCCAGCCAGCCTTCATGGCTAAGGCGGGACTAGAACTCACGGACTCCCACTTTCTAGCCTGATACCTTAATCACAAGACCCGGGGTAGGCAACCTTGGCTCTTTTATGACTTGTGGACTTCCACTCCCAGAATTCCTGAGCCAGCCATGCTGAGGGGAAAGGGAGAGGTTTCCAAGCTGAGCCATGCTGGCTCAGGAATTCTGGGAGTTGAAGTCCATGAGTCAGAAATGAGCCAAGGTTGTCTACCCCTGGTCTAGACCAAATTGGCTCTCTGTCAGTGATGTTAATTAAAGTTAAACGTATATACTTTAAAAATGTAATACAACGGCAAGGGGTATTAACATTTTCAATATTTAGCAGCAAAATGTCTGGGTACATGTGTTTAACTAACAATAATAGATATAGTTAATTATCATAAACAATATAATTAATTACTCAATAGCCTCCTTGTAACTAATATATATTCAAACTTCCATATCACATTCCTTTCTCTCTGACTCGTTTTTCTAGAAATTATTGATAAATAGTTCTAAAATACACTGAATCCTCTTTCTCTTTAATCTTTAAAGGCGGTACACAGAATTTTGAGTGCACTGCTGTGGCCACCATCTTAACTTTTTTTTTAAACTGTACCTTGCAAACACCTCAGCCTCGCACATTTTTATGTGTGCTGTGATGCATGTACAAACACGCAAAACCTTGATGACTCCTTCCTCCCGCAAAGCCTCTCGCAAGGTTCTCTATTCACCTGTGAGTAACCTTGTGTGAGATCTGTAGCAGAATAACAGGAAAATGAGAAAAGAGGCAGATAACACAAGGAAGAACTCTACCCCAGCAGAATAAGGAGGTGGATACTCGGGGTTGAAAAACCAGGTATCCAGTTCTTGTCTTCAACCACAGGTAGTATCTGGCACTTTAAAACTCCCCAGTGAGGCTTATGGTTGCATTGGAGCAGGGCTTTTCAACCAGTGGTACAGGTACCACCTGTGGTACATTGGTACCTGGCAGGTGGTACGCAACCATCCTAGAAAAGTGGTAGCAGGGGAGGGGAATGAGCTGAACCAGTGGCAGCACCGCACAAGCCTGAGCGAGAGATGGCTGGAGCTGCAGGGCTGTCAGGGCTCAGTGGAAGCGCCAAGATCAGCCCCAGGCTCCAGCTGGAGCTCGGCGCTGATCCTGGTGCTTCTGCTGAGCCCCGAAGAAGCGCCCATCAGCTGGAATGTTGCCGCCTCTCCAGGGTCTTGTGATTTACATTCAGATGCTTGGCAACTGATTCATATTTATGACGGTCACAGTGTCCCAGGGTCATGTGAAGTGACAAAAACCTGCTGCAACCACCCAGCAGACGGGGGGGGGGGGAATAAAAACCAAACACCCCACCCCCGCTGCCAATCCTCAACAGAAATGCTCACAACAATGAAAACCTCGGACAGGAGGAAGAGCACCGGCTGGTGGGCTGGCAGGTGTCTTGCTTGGCTGTGGCTTGGGGGGCACTTTTTTCAGTAACTTTGAACAGTCACTAAGCAAACTGTTGTAAGTCGAGGACTACCTGTACTTTATCACTTTATTCCTTTTTTTTTTTTTGTCGTCAACTTTTTGACACTTTGCTAGGCAACTGGTGGTACTCAGATATTGCCATATCCTAAAAGTGGTACAGTGGGTAAAAAGGTTGAAAAGCCCTGCATTGGAGGTATATAAAATTGGGGAGGGGGGCGTCTACTCAGGAAGGATGAATGTGAGATGTATTTATTTATTTGTGTCAGAAGCATCACAATTAAAATAAGGCAAAGTATACGACATAAAATTTAAAATATAAACTACAGGTAGCCCTCAACGTATGACCACAATTGAGCCCCAAAACTTTTGTCGTTAAATGAGACATTTGTTAAGTGAGTTTTGCCCCATTTTACGACTTTTCTTGCCTCAGTTGTTAAGTTGATAACTTAGTAACCTGGTTGTTAAGTCCATCTGGCTTCCCCATTGACTTTGCTTGTCGGAAGGTCGCAAAAGGGAATCACATGACCTTGGGACAGGGCAACGGTCATAAGTACGAGTCAGTTGCCAAGTGTCTGAGTGATCAAGGGGATGCTGCTAAGGTCGTAACTGTGAAAAATAGTCATAAGTCGCTTTTTTTCAGGAAACCAACCCACAAGCTCGGAGAATGAACCTTCGCCCTCGTCCTTAAGTGTACGCTGATCAGGGCACAAAGGGCGGGTATGCATATGTGTTGTTGCCTGCGTTTCATCACAATCACAAAGGGCAGGAGCTCCATTTGTTCGGAGCGTCTCTGGATCTTACACTTGTTTGCAGTCTATTCCAGAGTACCTCAACCTTAGCCACTTTAAGACTTGTGGACTCCAATTCCCAGAATTCCTCAGCCAGCTTTGCTGGCTGAGGAATTCTGGGAGTTGGAGTCTACAAGTCTTAAAGTGGCCAAGGTTGAGGAACCAAACGATTTCCATATTTCCCAGCTTTCAACAGGCCCAGGTGCCAGCTCCTCGGTCGGTTCCATCCTGTATTGGTTCTTTGTTGCTTTCCATAGGCCCAGTCTGCTCTCAGATTCTTCAAGTCTCCTGCTGACATCCAAAACATGAGATCATCCTGACCCAACAGAACGAGTCGAATGGCAATGCATTTGTTCTGGTGTGGAGCTTAGAATACACCTCCCACCTTTCTCTCCCCCATTTTATAGCCTCATATTTCCCCACCCCCCCTACTAATTACATTGCTGGGCATCATTCCATTTTCTCCCCTATGAAATATTTGGTTGTTTTACACTCAATTAGGTATGATATTTACTTCTTCGCTCCTCGGTAAATTTTTATTAAATCCTCATGTCTACCGCCTAGCATTTGTCAGGAAGAGCTCTGGTTAATGAGCCAAGATTTTGCTCAAATTTCTTTCAAAAATTGAACTATAGATGTTCCAGCTTATCCCCAAGCAGCTTATACAATCACCTGCCAGCCAGATAATTAAAATCCTTTAACTGAAAGATACGAAAACAACAGGTAGTAGAACCTTGAGCCGTAGCGTCCAGGCCAGTAGATAAACAGGAGCCGAGATGTATTTAGTTCTGCGTCTCTCTTATTTTGGAGCAGCCAAATCTTTGGGTGGCCTTAAACCAGTCACTTTCTCTTGGCAGCTCATTCTAATTTGCACCCTCTAATTTCCACTGGAGAAATAATTATACTGTACTAACTGAGGTGCCCCAGACGTCTTGTATTAGATGATATTGACTAAAGAATGCAAATGGCCAGCTGTCTGCAAAGAATATAAATCCTTCCATTCCCCACCATCCAGTCAAAACGGAAGAAGCTTCTTGGATGAAAAGAGAAACATCTTCAAAGAAAAAACGAGAAAGTCCAGTTGCCTCTTGAAAAAGCACCTTTGGGACAACCATGATCTGGATGACTGGGAATCTACATAGACACTGACAGGGTGGGCCAAGGGATGGCTGGTTGCCATAGAGACAAGTGGAACTGAGTTCTCCATTTTTCCTTCTTGTGGTCCAAGGATGATAGGGAGGAGAGAAATTAAAGATGTTGGGTGTCAGAAATGAGATATGGTGGACCTGCTCTGTCTCTTTAGATCAGGGGTCTTCAAACTTGGCCCTTTTATGACTTGTGGACTTCAACTCCCAGAATTCCTCAGCCAGGCCTAGCTGAGGAATTCTGGGAGTTGAAGTCCACAAGTCATAAAAGGGCCAAGTTTGAAGACCCCTGGCTTAGATGATGGGTGGGAGGGCTGGACCACTGATGGCCCCAGAAGGAGGGATGAAGTCTGCAGGAGCATCTGCCTCTCTGTCTAATCGATCTCGTTCTCTCTCCCCTGCAGGCCTGTTACCTTTGCTACAACCTCCTGGTGTTAGCCAACGTGGTTGTGGGAACCAAGCCAGCATCTCCAAAAGAGCAGGTGAGATGGGGACCAGGGTCAGGACAGCAGGAAAACTAGCTTTGGAAATAAAGAGGCTGTGTTCAGACCAAGCTTAGGCAGCAAATCTCACATTAGGAAAATATATGTATATATTATTCCATATATTGGAATAATACTTACACGGTGTGTGACATTTAGCCTGGCGGTTGCTCAATTTTGCGGGCAACATAAATTTCCGTTTCACAGCTCCACTGGAGCCAGCTTGCTTATACAACTCACTGAAGTGGAGAAGTGCTAGCTCAGGGTATCTGTGGGTCTGGGGAAGGTGCAAAATTGATGTGGAGTTGTAGTTTGCAATTAATGACTAAGAGGTGCTTAACGGAGGGCTTTCTCAGAACATGTTAGTCTTGGCTCAAAAGGGGTTGAGTACTTTGTGGCTCAGAGCCCGCTGGGAAGTCAACCAGCACCTTAGCATGTATATGTGTACCAGGCCATTGCATGAAGGCAGAACGTAGTTTACTGGGGCTTTGCCACAATTACAGTTTGTTAACGTAAGTTTAGGGTATTATCAGTTGTGTGAACACAGCCAAAGATAACGTGACCCATCTTTCAGGAAGAAGCAGTGGAGGGCAGAAAAATGCTCTCGCGTGTCCCTACCGGAGTCTTGTTGAAACAGATCTAATTGTGTGCACCCTCCAGAGTCACAGTTGTGAGACCGGAGGCTGTACAAACTTAATAAAATAAAAAAAAGAAGAAAGCGAAATTGGAGGGTCAAGATCCACATAACATACAAATATTTCTGCAGTTCCCTTTCTTAAGGCTGACACACAATGGTAACCTGGTCTGGAAAACAATCGCAATTACCATCACCGCACAAATGTAGATAATTGCAAGTTTAATTAAGAGTTTTGTGACTTGGCCTGCTGTGCAGGTTCAACCCAGAAAATGAGTTAATTCAGTTGTTAAGTTCTGCATGCTGAGTGAATGTAGTGATGTGTATAACGTGTAGTTTAGCCACTCTCTACCGTTAAAAAAAACCAAAGCACAAATATTTCTGTTTTGTATCATTGCAGGGTCCAATCTGGGTCCGTCACCAAGACCGGAAGTTTGTCTTCCAAGCTTTCAGACTTGTGCTGGAGCCCATCTTCAAGGAACTTCTCTCTAGCAGACACACACTTGGAAAACAAAGTTCCGGTCCTGGTGACTGACCCAAATTGGATTATCCTGGAACCCATATATTAGCCTTCATTTGTGTATCATTTCGCTTTGCAAGTGAGGTAGCAAACACACGTGGGGATGCTCCTCTCTGACCCATGCCGGCTAGGAATTCTAGGGGTTGTAGCCTGTCACATCTAGAGGGCTCAGGTGGGAGGTAGGATAGGAGATGTCAGATTGTAATGGGATGTGGGGAATGACCTTGAGAGACAGGAGGAAGAGCTGCAGGTCAGACAAAGGCCAGACAAGGGGCAGCTGTGTCCCCAGAAGGAATGAGGGAATGGTGAATATCTCAGAAGGGACCCATCCCTCTTAGTTTCTTGGGCAGTAAGGGGGGGGAGATGTACTTTCAGAGTTGCAAGATTCTGTTAAGGTAACCTTATAATAAAAATAGAATTTGTTTATTTGGGCAGGGTTCCTGTCTGGACTACCTCACCAAACTAACACCGTCCTTCACCATCCCCTGAAGTGCAATCCATTATATTCAGTCCAGTTTAGCTTTGCTCCTGCCCCGCTCTCTGTTGCTACCCAGTGGATTCTTACCTTGTGCATCTCTGCCCTTCTTTCCTTCCTCTTGCACACCCCCAGGGCCACCTCCAGCAACTTTGCCTCCAGGTGCAGCAGCACATCAGCAGCAGCATCCGGGAGGACCCGGCTCTCCTCTACAGGACCAAGTTGAAGAACTTGGCTGCCCAAACCTACGTCAAGTGGCAGGAACTTCTGTCGCAAGGCTGGCTCCAATTAACCCGCTAGCAGGTAGATTTTGTAGGGGGGGGGCCTTTCGTAGCAGCCTGCAAGGAGCTCTGAGTAGACCCAGCCCCCATACGCAGCTAAACGTCCCCGGGGGCAAGCAAGGGGAAACTGCTACTGAAATAATTCCTCCCAGACCTCAGTCCACTAGCTCCAACCCCTTGCATTGTGTGCAGAAAGGGTGGAATGTCAGAGGCAGCCTGTTGAGAATTTGGGGGGAAGGCACCAAAGGCAGGAAAAGGGGAGGGGGGGATCCCCAAGCACCAGGCTGAGGAAGGTCTCTCGCACAACCTTCCTCCCTTCCGCTGCACTGATGAACAAGTGTCCTAATCAGTATGTGTGTGTGTTAACATATGTTTGTCCTGGGTGCCATTTGGAATATATTCTGCTCCAGGCAACAAATATGCAGCCTTGGAACCAGGCTCTGGCAGCTGCAGTTGCAGTTTCCAGCTGTCTGTAGCTAATTGCACATTACACCCCCACCCCAGCTGGTGGCAAAAAGCCCACCCTGCAGCACGTGAGATTTGGGAAGGAGCGAAGCAGGCCAGCCCCGAGACCCTTTGCTGTGAGTCAGTCCTAAAGGTTTTGCTTGGATGCTGGCTCTCAGCAGCCAGCCAGAAACGGAAGTGCGGCTGATGCGTGCTGGATTGTAGCAAAACACACCCTTGCGTACTTTCCGTTCCCTCTGCCATTTGCAAAAAGCTCCCAAGGCCAGGCGGTGGCTTCATCACTTACTCCAAGAGGAAGCCTTTGTGAGCCCCCTCCCAGCCAACCAGAACAAAGCGGGTCAAAAAGGTCAGATTTATTTTTATTTTCAATTTTGGAGGTGAGGTGAGGAGAATGGCAAGGTTTGAGGACCTCAAGCGCACCCTTTAGAGCCAGGGGTGGGGAACTGTGACCCTTTTGCGACTTGTGGACTTCAACTCCCAGAATCCCTGAGCCAGGTGGCTCAGGAATTCTGGGAGCTGAAGTCCACAAGTCATAAAAGAGCCATGGTTTCCCACCCCTGCTTTAGAACACTGTTTTTCAACCTAGCATCTTTAAGAGGTGTGGACATCAGCTGAAGTCCACACATCTTAAAGATGCCAAGGTTGAAAAATGTTTTTTTTTTTTTTTGTTTTTTTGTTTTTTTGAGGCATGATGAGAAGTGCTGGGCTTTCTTGGTGTTTCCAGCAAAGCTAAAAAACATAACACCCCCACCCCACCGCCCCACCCTGGAAACAGAGGTATTCTTTCTTAAAACCACAACCAGGTGGCAGACAGAATGGCAGCTGAACCAAGCGGGTATGTATGTACGGAGGTATTTATGTTTACATTTATAGGCAGCCCATCTCACCCTGCAAAGTGACCCTGGACAGCTGTTTATCCCAGATGTTTTTTTTTTTCCCTGTGCCTTTTTGATCATGCAGGGAGCACACCGGGATTCTGTGACCCCTACATTTAGCCCATGCTGTTTTCCCATTCTGTAAAGTCTGTTTTTGAGCGCCACTTTGGTGTAGTGGTTAAGGAATCACGCTAGAAGCCAGGGGACTAGGTGACCTTGGGCCAGCCCCTCTCTCTCAGCCCTAGGAAGGAGGCAATGGCAAAACCCTTCTGAAATACCTTGTCAAGAAAACATATTGAGGTAGGCTCCAAGAATCAGACACGAATGAACAGAAGAAACAAACAAAAAAAAGGTCCTTGAAGCTAAAACCCAGCTTCACTTCCTTGACGGCGTACCAATAGATATGTTTTTTTTTTAAAAAAAAACCAGCAGAATTAGAAACAATAGAATCCAATTTCTTGGATATTAGCTGTCCCCAGTTGTGTTAGAAACACAAGTTTTCACTTTGAGGTGGGGCTGAGATTTCTGGAGGCTACAGCCTGTTCCTGGTCTGCGACTGAAGCAGTGGGTTGAAAGAACAAGGAAGTGGGCTTCAGTTGGACCCCAGGAAGAATGTCCCACTGTTCAGTGATGGAACAAATGTCTGTGGAGGTGGCATTTATTTTCCCTTCATTGAGAGACTGAACGGGCCTCTGAATCCCGTTCATATGGATGCCTGCCCTGGCCAAGGCGAGGAATTCCAGCTCTTACCATCTCTGATTCTACAGACCCGTGACATTAATTTTCTTCCTAGAAGAACTGGCCCCTATGATTTTCTCCAGGACCTTTTAAAAATTGGGCTGGCTTTGCAAATGATTGAGAAGCTGGCACAGTTGAATTGCTCTCCCAATTTACGTTCTTCCTCCAGGTTTTCACGATGCCAAAAGATTTAATCAGACAACGTATGTGGGATTGAGATTGCTATGCCGATCCTCGTTTAGCCCCTGGCCTCTTGAATTTGGGGAATGTTATTTTATTTTTTTTTAAACAAAGACTGCACTGGCTTCCAATCTTGTTTATTGCTTTGAGACAAGCTTCACTTTGTTCTGACATTCTGCCCTTCTGTCTGGTGGGTTTCATAACCTGTTCTTGCAGTGGGTCAGGCGTTGGAAAAATCCTTGAGTCAGATTATTCGCTGCTATTCACTTCTGATCCCCAGAAAACTGCATTCTGATTACTCTCTACCTTATCTGCAAGTATTCTTCAACTTACAACCTCAATTTCTGTTGCTAAGAGAGACCGTTGTTGATTTTTTGCCCCTTTTCATCACTTTTCTTGCCTCAGTTGTTAAGTGAGTCACTGCAATTGGTAAGTTAGTTACCTGGTTGTTAAGTGATTCTGGCTTCCCCCTTGAATGCTTGTGAGAAAGCCGCAAAAGGGGATCACATAACTTTGGGACACAGCAACCGTCATAAGTATGAGCCATTTGCCAAGCATCTTGATCACATGACCCTGGGGATGCTGTAAAGGCTGTTAACTCTGAAAAAAGGTCCTAAGTCCCTTTTTTCAGTGCCGTTGTAACTTTGAACGGTCACTAAACGGACTGTTGTAAGTCAAGAACTACCTGTATTAGCTGACCATCATCCTGGTACAACTAGCAACCTGCACAGCTGCTCATTTTTCACCTCTGTATTCTTCCTATTGCGACTCTCTGCTTTGCAAATGATTACCGTAAAAGGTTTATCGTTTCCTCTTGTAGCTTTGCATTGTTTGTGATGCCAGCTGGTTGCTGGCCATAACTAAATTATAGCGATAATAACATCCTTCACCCTTCCTCCTCCAAATAATTGGACTAATTTTTCCTGTGGGGGGGGTCACTTTTAGCCGTTTTTCAGGGCCACGCTGAAATCAGAAGCTTTTAACCCCTTCATCCACAGCCCCAAACAACAACAAAAATGAAAATTATTTCCATATCCTCTCTGCTGATATCACAATATATCTGGCCACCTCTCAATGAGACTGGATAGGAGGGGGGACGGAAGGATTGTTAATTCTTTGCAGTCATCTGGTCATTAACACACTTTTTGAGAGCTCTTGAGGAACTACTGCAAGGGCTACCTGGAGACAGGTGATGTCTTATTCTTCCTCCTCCTCTCAGCTGATTGCGAGGACGCAATCCTTCCATCTCCCCTTCCCCCCCCCCAGCCTATCAGAACCTCTCCTTCCGTTCCCCTGCCATTCAGTCTCAACTGTCAGTCCTCATCCTTCCATCTTCCCACCATCAGAACTGATGAAGCTTCTTGGATGGGAAGTGAAACGTTTTCTTCCTCAAAAGAAAGAAACAGTTCAATTGCCTTCTGAAGGAAAAAAGCACCTTTGAGACAATTATGACCTGGATGGCAGAATCTCCACTGACATTCATCAAAGGGGTGTTTGAAAGACATCCACGCACACACACACACCCTTGCCAGCACCCGTGGGAAAGAACCAGAAAGAGCCAATCCTTCGATTGGCGGGGGCCAGAGGAACTTTTCTCCCCATCTCTTGAAAAACCTGGCTGCACCTAAGAGAAAGGTTGCCCAAGGCCTTTGGTCTAGTGCAGGGGTAGGCAACCTTGGCTCTTTTATGACTCGTGGACTTCAACTCCCAGAATTCCTGAGCCAGCATGGCTCAGCTTGGAAACCTCTCTTTCCCCTCAGCATGGCTGGCTCAGGAATTCTGGGAGTTGAAGTCCACCGGTCATAAAAGAGCCAAGGTTGCCTGCCCCTGGGTTAGTGCAGTGATGGCGAAGTGCCCAAAACCGCCCCGCCCCTGCTCTGCTCCCTGTCCCGCCTGCTCTGCCCCCGCTCCACCCTCCGCCCACCCACAGGGCCACCCACTGTCTCCACGGCCCGCCGCAGATCACCAGGCGGTCCTGCAGCACCATGGCTGCCCCACACACACCCGCCTGTGCCCCACAGCATCATGCGCGCGATGGGGCGCGAGAGTGGAGTCTTGTCCCTGCTGCCAGCTGCCATGTCCTTGGCTGCACTGCTCCATGCTGCCCGTTCCCAGGTGTGACCCTCTTCTGGGGGGGTTGCTGGTGAGGAGGAGGCGGCCATAGGGGGAGGCAGGGTTGGGGCAACGGCGCTCGTGCCCACACAGAGGGCTCTGAGTGCCGCCTCTGGCACGCATGCCATAAGTTCGCCACCACCGGGCTCGTGCATTTTGGTAAAGGATCCAGCCACAGGGATCTGGTCTTCTTCTCCACCTAGCAGCCAGTCCATATACCTCTGTGCCCTGCTGCCAGCCGCCCTCTCTGCCATCCGATTGAGAAGCTGGAGCTGTCGCCAACATCCTTGTATGCAAACATGATGGAAACCAGAAGCAGCCCGGAGCTGCTCCTTCCCTAGCTCTATTAGTCAGGAACTTACTCACCCCAGACGGACTGAGCTGCACGGCCCCGAAGTAATCTGAAGACCTAGAGAATTGTGGGGGGGGGGAGGCAGCAGGAAATGACTTCATTGCGTGGTTCTAATCAAGGGGCTCATTAGGAGCCGGGGATGTTGTCATTTGTCTCCTGTCTGGGTGCCTTTCGCTCAATCAGCTGAGATCGGAGAGACTTGGAAGGGAGCTCTTGCAGGGGGTGGCATGGCTGTCTCCAGAGTCCATGCTGCTGCTGTGCCACCCATTAAGCAAGAGGGTCACCTGCTAAAATTGCCCACCTTCCGTTCACGGTAACTAGTCTTGGGCCAGAGAACTTCCCAACGGAAAAAGAGTGATCTCTCTTGAGTGAACGCAAAACTTGGGAAGTGTTTGCTTTTTGCCAGCATCTCCTGCCCAAAAGACCACCACCCCCTTTTCTGTGGCCAGAAAGAAGTTTGGCTGAGGATGCTCTGCTGATTCAGACAGGGCCCCCTCTTCATTTCTGGAAGGATGGCATTAAATTAATGACCCAGTTTTGCAGGACCCCTTTGCCTATCAACCCCCACCCCCACCCGCCAGTCAAGTTCCCATGCATCCTGAGGTTGGGCTCTTGTTTTCACCACTCGCACCCCCTCTCCCCGTGCCATACGCTTTCCCAGCCGCGACGGTGGCAAGCCGTTAAACACGGAAGCGCAGACTATGTTCCATCTCTCGAAATAGGCGACCCGCCAGGCGCTCCTGGCGTGGGAGTTGTGCCATCTGTCCTGGAAAAGAATCTCCGCTTTTTACTTTGCAGGATGCAAAGGCGGTGGCTCGCTCGGAGCTGGGGGAGAAAGTCACTTTGCACGCGCTCAGAGGACCCTTCGCTTCGTCACCATTTGTGCCAGCGAGATCATCGCTGCCCGCGTGTCTGTCGGTGGGAAGGGCCCGGTGGTGCCCAGGTGTGGCATTGCCAGCTCCGTTCAAAGAGAAGGGGTTTTTGTCTTGTTTACCACGACCATCCCCTCTGGCAAGTCATCCCAGGTCTGTTCCTAAAGTCTTTTCCTTGCCTTTTCTTCCCCTTTCAGGCCAAGAGTGATCAGGTTTAATGAGACATCCCGGGGAATGAAAGACCTTGCCAGAAGGAGCAGCCTCTCACAGAACTCAGAAAAGCCCTTAGTGGAATGAAGTGGGGGCAGAGACAATTCAGTAGCCCCCCCTCAAAGCCACCAATAATTCTTTCATCCCCCTTCCTCATAAACTTTCTGACGGGTCTTATAAGGCACATAAATTTCTCCCAGGGCTAAGCCCACCTTGTTTACTGTTTACTTGTTTTCTTTAGACCCGCCTGTGCCTTTAAGCCCCCCCCCCCGTGTTCGAAGCAGGCAATCCAAGGAAGGGATAACGGCTCCTCTTCTGCACAAGAGGAGGCTAAAATAAACGTCATTTTTGATGGATTTCTCTGTTGTTGGCTGTTTTCTGGGGCTGCGAGAGAGAGTACCTCATCTTCTGCGTGAAGATGATCCCAATCAGGAGGTAAAGGGGGCGGTCTTTTCAAGCACGTAGGCCAGGGGTAGGCAACCTTGGCTCTTTTATGACTCAAGTGAACTTCAACTCCCAGAATTCCTGAGCCAGCATGGCTCAGCTTGGAAACCTCCCTTTCCCCTCAGCATGGCTGGCTCAGGAATTCTGGGAGTTGAAATCCACGAGTCATGAAGGGGCCAAAGTTTCCCTCATGCTGCTCAGGAATTCTGGGAGTTGAAGTCCACCAGTCATCAAAGAGCCACGGTTGCCTACCCCTGACGTAGGCGCAGAGGGGAGAAGTCAGTTGCACCATTCCCTCAAGTTGTCTGTCCATGGAGAATTGGCCAGGAGAAATTATAGAGTACAGAAAGTCCTCGACTTAAATGACCATGATTGACCTGGAATGCGGTCGTAAAGTAGATCACCCCTGTCATTTTATGACCTTTTTTTTGCAATGGCCGTTAAACGAGTGTTGCAGTTTTTAAGTGAACCCCGTGGTCAGTAAACAGACCCATTTTAACCAACGATGGTTTTGTTTGTTTGTTTTTTGCCATGAATCAAAAAAGTAAATGTTTCTTTCGAACAAGAAATTCAGAAAAATAATGTGTGCAGGATGTTACAAGCTGCCCTAAATGCAGGCCGGTTGCCAAGCACTCAAAACACAATCGCACGATTCTGGGGGAGGGCGACCGTCAAAAGAGTTTTGAAACCAGGTCACAAGTAGCTCGGGGTGGTCCAGTATAAGTACGAATGGTTACTAAGCGACAAATCATAAGTCGAGGACTCGCTGTGTTGATCTGCTCAAAGATGGAAAGGCTTTAGAACGGCGTTTCTCAACCTCAGCAGCATTAAGACGTGTGAACTGACTCCCAGCACGCTGAGAAACACTGCAAGGGAATTTGGTCCAGTGCCACCAATCTGGTGCTTCATGCTAAGCTGTACTTTCTTTTTTCTCCGTGGCATCCTGAGCCAGCTGGAGATGCCTCCTTCGTAGAGAAACAGGGATGCAGAACCTTTGGGGGGGGGGGGGAGACACACATCTGATAACAGGCATAAAGTCCCATTCCTAAAAATTCAGCTGGCCAGGAAAAGAAGCGAACGTGGCCAGGCTGAAACTGAGCTGGACTAGCCGAAAGCTGGGTGCTGGGTCACCTCCCTTGGGCCACGTGAACATTTACAGTTCAGAGACAGCTTTGGGCAGAGCCTGGGGGGCAATTTGGGGACAGCTGCATCAAACTATCGGAGGTGCATCAGATCCTGGGGGGACAGAGGCCCAGGCAGGGGTGATCAGAAGGCGTGATTAAAAAGAAGTCCCCATGGCACCTGATTTTTCATGTGGGCATCTCTCTCTCTCTCACTCACACACACACACACACACACTCACTCACTCACTCACTCTACAGGTTTCGCATCCTGCCATAAATCCTGATCTGCCCAAAGCGGAGATCCTGATGGTTTAGCTACCCTGGAGAAATTCGGCCACTTAAGAGGATAGCAGCAGCCTCCATTTCCTCTCTGAGATGATAGTTGCCAGGAGGGATTTGCTATCCTGTTTGGGCTGTTTGCAGAAAAGAGACTCCCCCCCCCCCAGCAGCTCCAAGTTAGCAGTTCTCTCTTTAAACACACACACACACCAGGCCTGGCTTGCTGTGTGATGCTTCCTTTTGCAACTAGCCGTCCAGCCCTCTTCATCCTCCAACTGTTTCTTATTCTAACGCGTAACGCGATAGAAGACGCGTTTCATTTCAGACGGGCTAAGCTGCAGGTGGCGATACATAAAATGCAAGCGCTCGTAAACCCCACCCCCAATAAACCGGCGAGAAGTAAAAAAAACCCTCTCTTATTACGGCTTAGCTCAAAATAATAATAATTAAAAAAAAAGACTTTGTTCCCGAGTTTTTTTTTTCCTAGCAGCCTCCTCCCCCCACCCCCGCCAGTGGAAACCAACACCCGTTTACTCAGAAGTTGCTCCTCCCGAGCAAAGGCCCACGAGCTGAATTTGCACTTCGACCTAGATTTGGGGAGCGGAGGGGGGGGGAAATAGCAAGGCCCCCCCCCCGGGGCTCGCCACTCAGGCGCCGATGCAGCGAAAGGATTAACGGGCTGCTGCCATCCGCCTCTTCTTCCGGCCGCGCGAGTGGTAATTACAGTTGCTGCGGATGATGGAGCTGCCGGCGCCAGGCAGAAGAGCGGGGCCTCGAGGCGGTGTGTGTGTGTGTGTGTGAGTGAGAGAGAGAGAATCTCACTCCCTGGGCTGCGAAGCGTAGAGCAGTTGGGGGGGGTGGGGTGCAGACAACACGCGAGCAAGGGAATTGAGAATGAGAAAGACACGTCGTCATTGTGAATAGAGCCCCTTGGACCAGCGCAGTCTACACTGAGTCCCCCAAGGCCGGGCTAGAGCCAGCCAATGAAGGCTTAGTCAGCGGAGGAGGGGGGCTAAGGGGTGAGAAGACCCGGTCGAGGTCCGAGGCTGTTGGGCTCTGCACCTGCAGAAGACCAGAATCATCAGAGAACGTGGGAACTCGGTCAGAGGTAAAGATGTAGAAGAGACTTGGGTGCCTGGATTCCTGGGGTCTGCCCTGGTTGCATCGTTTTAATCAAGGGGCTCCTTTTTTTAAATTTTACTTATTGACTTAAATTTGTTGGCCACCCAGTTGCACCTCTAATGCAAGAACAGGTTGGGCTCAATGTTACACCCTCAGTCTGAATATGCTGAGCCACAATTGGCTGAATCAACTAGAGCTGGGGTATCTGACTGTAACTTTTAGACTTCAACTCCCAGAATTCCCCAGTCAGGTTTTAAGTACCTGACCTGACCGGTTTGATTACCTGATATGGTGGATTGGTTGAGGAACTGCCTGGTATTCTCTGACCTCAGCTTCTCTGTCCTGTTAACCTGGATTTGAATTGTTATTTGAAGGAGGAAGTCTCTACCCTGTTTGGAAGTGGGCAGCAATAGCTGGCAGCCAAAGAAAGGCTTGGTTTGGAAAAAACCTGGAAAATCCAGGGTGGAGCAAGACGCCTGCCACACTAGTAAGAACAAAACCCCTTTTGTTATTAATGCTTTTATGGCAAAGCAAAGTTTAAAAATTGTTGTTTAAGAGCAGAGACCGTTTTTGCTGTTGTGATGCTGACTAGGTCAAGCTAATTTTATTTTATTTATCAAAAACCCGGTCTGGTGGTGGATTTGTGGGTGGGCCAAAAGTGTAATAAAGTATGTTTTTATTTGAAAGGGGAAATGTGGAAACGCAGAAGTGTCTCAGTAGAAAGGGGTATTTACTTACCCATGTAATACGGCCGTAGTATTATCGTTTATCCTTCTTATCGTCTTTATTTCCCTCCCCCTTTATGAGGACGATGAGGATGATTCTGTGGCCTTGCATGTACAAGGAGAGCTACTCCCATGGGAGACAGATTCCTTGTGTGTTTAATCACACTTGACCAATAACTATTCTGTTCTACTTTCTGCTACAAACTCTTAGTTAACGATGGCTGGTCTGTCTGCCACCAGGAAGCCCACAGTTTGTCATCTAAGGCAGAGGTCCCCAGCCTTGACAACGTTAAGACCTGTGGACTTGTGGGCTGAGGAATTCTGGGAGCTGAAGTCCACAAGTCTTAAAGTGACCAAGGCTGGAGACCCCTGATCTAAGGACACCTCTGCCACATAATTAAGCATCTTCTGAAGATATCCTGAGAGCAGCTCAAAAGGAAGTGGGTGCCTTGTTAACGAGTCAAGGTCGGGAATTTTTCTGGAAAGGTTGCTTTAGGTGTCAAACTCAATTTCATTGAGGGCCGGATCAGTATTGCGGTTGCCCGGGGGGGGGGGGGGACAGGGGTGTGTGGCCTACTGGGTGGGCGTGGATGGAGTGGGTGTGGCCTACTGGGTGGGCGTGGCCAGCTCTACATCATTTGCGTCAAGGGTGCCTGTGGGGGCCTGGGCAGGAGTGGGACAGATCTGAGGGTCTCTGGCAGAAGGGGGTGGGACCGGGGCAAGCGCCAAGGCATGGTCCATTTCTTCATTCCTCACAAAGGGTGACACCTCCCCAGCATGCACCCAGGGGGCAGGGCCGACACGGCAGGGGCTGGTTCCTCGCTGGTTCCACAAGGACGGCCTTGTGGAGTTAAGACTGAATGCGTTTCAGCATAGATGGCCACCACAAAATTGTACATTGGCTCCTGACCGGCCTGGGCCAGGGCCAAGGCAGCGGGGGCCGTTCCCTCACTGTTTCCAGGATGGCTTCACGGGCCACATGAAACCACGGGCTGCATCCGGCCCTGGGCCTTGTGTTTGACATGTCTGCTTTAGGGCTTCCACCAAGGAGGAGGCATCTAGGAATTCCCAGGTCACTTAAGGTTGCCCTGGTGGTGGTGAGGAACTTCCAAGCATCACCAGCCAGAGATACAATCCTTGAATGAGCAGGACTACAATTTCTTTTAGGGAGGCGCTTTAAGGATTGAGGTCGAGGCACACACTCCCCGAAGCAGCCTAGGGAGTGCAAAGCAGGTACAGGTGGTCCTCAACTTTCGACCAGACCAAAATTTCAGTTGCTAAGTGAGACAGTTAAGTGAATTGTGCCCCATTTGATGACCTTTGTTGCCACACTTGTTAAGCAAATCACTGCAGTTAATAACACGTTTGTTAAGTGAATCTGGCTCCCCCCCCCATCAGAAGGTTGCAAAAGGGGATCACCTGACCCCAAGACATTGCTGGGGAATTCTGGGAGTTGGAAGTCCACAAGTCTTAGTGGCCAAGTTTGAGGACCCCTGTAGTAGAGCATTTCCGGCTTTATGCAGCTGCTGCTTTGTTTTGGACTGAATGTTCATGCTGTATTTTGTGGGTTGTCACCGCTTTATTTATTTGTCAGAGCGCAGAGAATTTATGGTTAATGTGCGGTGTGCAAAAACAACTGGCAGGAGCAGGAGTTTATTGCACAATATCAGAAAAGGGAAAAAGACACGGTTGTTTTAAACAGCTGCAGGTGGACCCAACGATCCTGCCTGCCATGCTCCGAAGCCATTTTTTGGAGCCATCCATACCTGACAGATTATACAAATCTCACCGTTATTATCACTATAATTTCTCCTGCCAGATAGTCCTTCTGTCAGAATTACACTGTCTCTGCAGTTAAATCCAGTTACTTAAACACTTCCCAGCCATCAGCGTCATAGGCTTTTTGTACAAACGGGAAGATTAATGGAAGGTTTAGAAATTTCTCCTATCTTTTTAGTGCTTACCTACCTTTTTAGTGCTTATCTTTCGGCCGGTGTTTGCTAGGTGATTATTCCAATCCTCATTAAATCATTGTCACCGCTACAAAACTGGGGCAGGAATTATTCAAAATTTGTTATTTGCTCTTAGGTTATTACCAAGATCCTAATTCTTATTCTAATGGCGAAATTGTCAAGAGACCGAGTGTCGTCGTGTCTTTTGGGCCCTAGATACGGATTGTCCCAAATCAAGTAGCCTTTGTTACTGCTTTTTTTATTTGCCCCTTTTTAATATATGACACTCTCTCCTGGCTTGACGGTCTCCAGTGAGCAGAGGATGTTATGTGTCAGCCTTCAAGGTTGACCAGACTCCAGATTATTAAAACTGGTGAGATAAGCTATTGTAACAGAATCATCCAAAGCTGACTGCATTTTTTCTTTCCCGTCTTACTGTATACCTCAGGGAGTTTGGAAAGAGTCAGTCTGAATCTCATTTCTGATGCTGTCCCTGTTTCTTGGGCTCCGTGTATGTTTCTGCACATGTTGAATAGTTTTTCCAAGGTCATCTCGATGGCTCACTGCCCCTTGAGAGTTATCTGTATGGAGGACACTCAGTTGGCGAAGCCCAAGATGGCCCACACTCCCTTGTAATTCTTATCACATATCTGCAAAGTAGACTAAGCAGCAAAATGGAGTAAAGCAGGGGTGTCCAGCCTTGGCAACTTCAAGCCTTGTAGACTTCAACTCCCAGAATTCCCCAGCCAGTTAACCTCTTTAAGTGGGGTTAAAGCAGGGGTGTTCAACCTTGGCAACTTTAAGACTTGTGGATTTCAACTCCCAGAATTCTCCAGCCAGCCATTAAAAGTTGCCAAAGTTGGCTGCCTCTAGGCTAAAGTTTCACTTAGCAGAACTAAAGTGAAGTCCAGCTGGCAAGACTGCAAAGAGCCCAGATTCATTATTTGGCCCCCAAATTGTGAGAGACCAGAAAGAAAAAAGGGAAGCATCAGATGGGTGTTTGAAGTAATCTTTTTACTAGAAGCTATACAACGAGATTCCCCAAAGCTGTGTGAAACTAAGGAGCATCAGCTGTACGTTCAACCAAGCTTTTTTTGATCCCCGCCACAAATAAACTGGGTTCACTGCTGCCAGCATTTCTGACTTTGTTCTTCTAGCCTCCTCCGGTGCAAAGCCTTGCCAGTGAATGGCTCTCGGTGCCATCTGTGGCTCCAGCTGCGCTCTCCCACACGCGATGGGTGGGGCTCTGGACAGCTGCCATGCCTGACATTCCACCCCCCAATCAAGAGCACACGAAGTACTAGTACCACTTTATAAAGCCCTAGTAAGACCACACCTCAAATACTGCAGCCAATTTTGGTCACCATATCACAAAAAAGATGTTGAGACTCTGGAAAAAATTCAGAGAAGAAAGATGATCAAAGGCCTGGAGACTAAAACATACAAAGAATGGCTGCAGGACTTGGGTTTGGCTAGTCTAAGGAAAAGAAGAAATAGGGGAGACATGATAGCAGCATTCCAGTATCTCAGGGGCTGCCAAAAGGCAGAGGGGGCCAGGTTATTCACCAGAGCACCAGAGTTAAGGACAAAAAAATAGTGGTTGGAAACTGATCAAAGAGAGAAGCAACCTGGAATTAAGGAGAAAGTTCCTGACAGGGAGGACAATTAACCAGTGGAACAGCTTGCCTCCAGAAATCGTGGGTGCTCCATCACTGGAGATTTTAAAGAAGAGACTAGACAGTCGCTTGTCTGAGATAGTATAGGTTCTCCTGCTTGAGCAGGGGGCTGGACTAGAAGACCTCCAGGGTTCTATTCTATTCTAATTTCCATATTCTATTCTATTCTATTTCTATTCTCATTTCTCTACTCTACTCTACTCTACTCTACTCTACTCTACTCTACTCTACTCTACTCTACTCTATTCTATTCTATTCTATTCTATTCTATTCTATTCTATTCTAGAAGCTGGATAGAAGTATGTGGACGTGGGTTTAGTTTACCAGTTCTGGAAAGGATAGCCTTAGGGGGAAAAAAAACAGCACCCCAGCTATCAGAAATCTAAAACATTAGCCAGAAATAAACACACACAGAGTTCTGTTTATCTTAGGATATAGTTCACACCTCCAACTTCCTAGTCCAAGTAGGGTGGTTGTTCCTAGACTGATAAGGGGACTGGAGATGATTCTGTAAACAACTCTCAGCAACGAGATAAAGCCAATTGCGGGAAAGGCAGTCAAAAGGCGAAAGACTCGCCTTAATATATTTTGGGAAATACTGGACTGGAAATAGTTTAGGGAGTGGAATTCTTGTCAGCCCATCCTTTTCTCCTGAATCCGTCTTGTAAAGACAACATCTGCATTTATAACTGACTTGAAACCCCTTACGGACTTTGTGCATGGAACAACAAAACCCTGAACTTTTGATTTGTGTGCTTGAGGGTTAGAAAACATTAGATAATAGAAAAAAAGAGCCTTTTCTTTCTGTAACCGTAGCATAAGAAATAATTTTGTAATAATGCTTGTATTTGCTACAAAGAAAACAAGCTGCTTTCTGTTTCTTTTCATCTTTTTCCACTTTGGTCTTCTTCCTTCCTTCCTTCCTTCCTTCCTTCCTTCCTTCCTTTCCTCATTGATTGAATGATTGATGGATGGATGGATGGATTTATTTTGTATTAGTTTTTTTTTAGTTTTTTTTATCTTTTTAAAACTTTCAATCAGATTTACACCAAAAGAAAGAAAGAATAAGCATAACTAAAGAGATTCTGCGAAACATGCCTTGAAAAGGATTTTTTTTATTATTTTTGGGTTTTA